CCTTAAGCCCCACATCTTGTTTAATTATGTGTATGTCTAAAACATTATACGTCTGCTTTGGATAGAGTAGTGAATGGTTAGCACTTCATTTGTTTAATTTTTTGTTGATTGTTTTCCACTTCTGAGATTTTCCTTCACTTCCTGTGCCAAAGAGGAAGTTAGAAGAAATCTCTACAAATTGAGGGGACATCTTCTCTGAGACAGCTGCTCTGGTGACAACACAAATGTTGGATTTTTCCTCACTTTCAGTCCTTGTAACAATGTTCACCAAGACAAACAGAGAGAGTGAATTTCTCTAAATAGGATTTCAACAGCAATAAAAACCTGACAGGAATTCTAACATGGGTTTGAAACATGCAAACAATTCCATGTAGAAATCTAACAGATAATATTAAGATGTCAATTAGATATGAACTGAATATTTGGTCTGAACACAACTTCAGAAGAAACCTTTCCTGTTTGGGCATTCACCTAAACGACAAGACTTTTTTCCTCATTTGGTGGGTATAGCATAGTAGTGGTGTTTCTACCATTACTATATTTGGTAGCTTTCCATCAATGGTTGCTATAGAAGGAGTGGGTGTTGTGATCTTAGCAACCAGGGATGTCATCTAGCCCCTCTCATTAACTGGCTTGGAATTCCCAGCCATATAGACAAGAGGGAAGGGAAAGTGCTGACAATACTGAACAAATATGGCATGGCAAATATTTGGCAATGACATTGACCTGTGAGACACCACCTCTTTTTGTATATATAGTGGGAACTGGGCGATATAATTCTCAATAAGTGTAGTCAGGACAACAGATGTGTCTATCGTACAGTGTGCATCATTCATTGTGATTGATATGGATCTGCATGTCTGGATGACATGATAGACAAATTAAGTTATATCATGGCCCATTTTTTAGGAGTATTTTATTTTTTTAATAAAGGATCTGTCAAAATATGTGTGTTGGGACGTGAAGTAGTTCACTCTTAAACTGCATAACAAGTTCTTTACTGTAAAGAGGTAAAGATGTGCATCTCTTTTCTGCAGTTGTTGGTGTCAGCGAGGAGTGTAAATAAATTAAAATAACTTTTAGATGTGTTTCTTAGCAAACGCAATGTACAAGGATATAAAAAATGGTAGCGACATATACACACACACTCAAGTTGAACTGGGTGGATTGGTGTCTTTATTATCCTTACCAAATTTGTAACTATATAACTATGCACTGTTCACTACCATATATATGAAAAGTGTTTGTGTGTGAGTAAAATAATACTAGTTACTGTGAGAAGTTTAGGGATTTAGAATTTTAGGAACATAAGAGATTTCTTTGCTCTCAGAAATCCAGCTAATAGACAAGTAAGTAAATGTAGGGTCACTTGTATGGAGCAATACCCAGTTCAATCAACATTATCATATTACTAATGGAGAAAAAAGAACAATAAAGCTATCACTTTTATCTTTTACTCTCTCTTTTGGCCTCCACTTTACTGTGTATAATGGAAGTTTGATTGATTTATTTGGTACAGACATTTCAGTACCAGTTGTACTTAATTGAGAAGATGAAAAGATCTGACTGCTGGTCTCATTGGTATCATTTTTTATAACATGTAGCAATAACAGAGTGGGGAAAACCAGCACAGTGAAATAGGACACAGAATTATGGATGAAAGATAGGAACATGTGGCAAATACAGTTGTTTTGAGTAAGAAATAAAACCTGCTTTACTTCTGTATCCTTTCCACCAACTTTCTATATGAACCAATAGGTGTTGCTCACAGTTTTCAGCATCAAAGAATCATATTTGTGAACAGAAAATTTTGGACCAAGTACATTGTTACATAGCTGTCTTAAGGTGTCCAAAGAAAATAATGTGGATGATAGCTCTTGTCAGCCTATAAATGGTACCTGATTTGACCCAACAACTAGATTGGAAATATTCCAATTGAGTACTGTCCGTGATACTTTTTTTATTTGCACATAAATAAAAAAAGTTTCACGGACAGTACTCAATTGTTTCTGTCGCAAATGCACTAATACGGCTACAATCACCTCAAGCGAAATATTCCAATGAAATCTCTGAGACAGCTGCTCTGGTGACAACACAAATGTTGGATTTTTCCTCACTTTCAGTCCTTGTAACAATGGTCACCAAGACAAAACAGAGAGAGTGAATTTCTCTAAATAAAATTTCAACAGCAATAAAAACCTGACAGGAATTCTAACATGGGTTTGAAACATGCAAACAATTCCATGTAGAAATCTAATAGATAATATTAAGATGTCAATTAGATTTGGTCTGAACACAACTTCAGAAGAAGCCTTTCCTGTTTGGGCATTCACCTAAATGACAAGACTTTTTTCCTCATTTGGTGGGTATAGCATAGTAGTGGTGTTTCTACCATTACTATATTTGGTAGCTTCCCATCAATGGTTGCTATCAAAGGAGTGGGTGTTGTGATCTTAGCAACCAATGAAGTCATCTAGCCCCTCTCATTAACTGGCTGGGAATTCCCAGCCATATAGACAAGGGGGAAGGGAAAGTGCTGATATTAAATGCAATGACATTGACCTGGGAGACACCATTTCTTTGTTTACATATAATGGCAGGAACTGGGAGATATAATTCTCAATAAGTGTAGTCATGAGAACAGATGTGTCTATCATACAGTGCGCCTTGTTCATTGTGATTGACATGGATCTGCATTGCTAGACGACATGATAGACAATTAAGTTATACCGTGGGGCATTTTTTGGGAGTATTTTATTTTTGTAATAAAGGATCTGCTGAAACATGTGTGTCTTTATTTACACTTTTTACTTTTTTGTATAGCACAGCAAAGCAAGAGTGCTTTCTACAGATGACAAACTATGACAATAATTGGTTCATTTTATGCATAAATGCAATTGCAGTTGCCATAGATGAATAGTAACAAATTGATTTTCTATCACAGAGGAAATTATTTTTTAGTCAACAACTCTTGAAGATTTTTGGTTGACTTACTAAGGGAATAGAGACTGCTCACTTAGAAAAATTAATGGTGCCTTTGGAAAGTGTATGTTAGCTTAGTAAATAGGGTTAAAAGAGAAGTTCCAGAATTAAAAAAAAAAACTTACATACTCACCTAGGTGGATGCAGCATTGGTCTGATGCGGCATCTGTCCCCTGCTGCCTCCAAGATCAAGAACTGAGCAAACATGACACACTAACAGGACGAGCCATCTGCTGGTCATAGTATAGTATAGTCAAAAGAGCTTTGGCCCTACTTCTCCTTTAAGCTGTGTTCACTGTATTACCCAATGACTTTCAAAGTAAAAATATGACTTTTGCTTGTATGCATTGGATTATTGAAGTGATTACAGCTTCATCTTTTTCACCAAACTAAGTGAACATATCAATGAACAGTCACATAAGGTGATGGTGAGGGAAATTGTTAACACATGTGCCAGAGCATGCAATTGCAGCGGCTAAGTTAGACTTTTAAAATAAAAGTACGAGAGATAATCACATTTTAATTTTAGAGTGTGTGTGTATATAGAGTGTGTAGCAAGGTACACCTTGCTAGTGCCAAGAAAATATCCCCCACACCATTACACCACCAGCTTACTGATATAAGACAGGATGCATCCATGCTTTCATGTTGTTTACACCAAATTCTTACCTTACCACCTGTATGTCACAGCAACCAGACTGCCCATTCTCCTCTGATCTCTGACATCAACAAAGCATTTTTGTCCACATAACTGCCACTCACTGAATATTTTCTCTTTTTTGGACCATTTTCTGTAAATCCTAGAGGTGGTTCCCAGTAGATCAGCAGATTTGGAAATATTCAGACCAGCCCGTCTGGCACCAACAACCAGTCTACGTTCAAAGTTACTTAAATCCCCTTTCTTCCTCATTCTGATGCTCAGTTTGAACTTCAGCAAGCCATCTTCACCACATCTAGATGCCTAAATATATTGAGTTGCCTCCATGTGATTGGCCAATTAGTAATTTGTATTACCAAGCAATTTAACAGGTGTACCTAATAAAGTGGCCGGTGAGTATATATATTTATTTATTTTTTTTATTTTGATCCTCTGCCTCATAATGTTTTTTTCAAAGTTCTTGTTGGTTCAGATAACAAGTCATTCTACATATGGCCAGCCTACTGTATACTATGTATAATTGTTAACATCTCAAGTGCTGTCAAGCAGTAGAACTATATCTGGGCCAGAGTTGAAAACAAGAGCACCAAACCCCTCAAAGGCAAATCAAATTACTTTGTAAATTAAATGGGATTTTTAAGGTACCAACAGAAAACAATATATCAAAGATAAAATACAAAATTTTTTGTTTAATTACAAAATTACATTAAAAACTTAAATGATTTAAATTGTGCGAATCTCACCAAGCACATGCCACATACTACCCTGGACTTTGAGTAGGTGCATGTGAGATGGGTTCTTACATTGTGCCTATGCAGGAGTTCAATTCAATGATATATTCATCAGCGGTGAGATGCCTCTCATCACATTTCACTGGTTAAATGATTGTACAGAAATTCTATTATGATTGTTACTATTTTATCACAGCTTGTAACTCTGTAGTACTAAATCTCCTGAAGAAGCCGAATTTAAGGCGAAACATGTAGAGATGAATTGACTACAAGTATTTATAACTAAATGTAAATTGTGAAACTCATGTGCTGATTGACATTTGCACGTTTTAAATAATTGATGGTTTTAAAGTAATTTTAGAATAAAATACATTTTATATATGGTTTTCTGTTGGCACCTTAAAAATACCATTTCATTTACAAACTAATTTGATTTACTGTCGATTAGTATTTGAATATCCTATTATCTTGGGATTTTAAAATATCACTGCACACAGATGAAATAGAACAAATTTTAAAATATTTTGAGTGAACATGAAGAAAACAGAAAATATGGTATTTCCAAATGAATAGTGAAAAGGCTGATTTTGTAAACTTCATTGGAAATTCATTGGGCATAATTGTCTTACCTTATTTAGTTTTTCAAGATTTCCTTTAAGAAGTTGTTGATACTCACATTCATTTTGGTATCTGTAAACAAAAATAAAACATGACTAGAAACCCCCCAAAAAACTTAGTTTATCAAGTAGAACAGTAAAGTATGGGGTAAACATTTTAGTGATTTCATCTTCCTTCCAATGCTACAAACTTTGTATTACATATAAAACCAACAGCTCTATAGAAAAGTAAATTAAATATCAGAGGCTAGACAATGCCACCCTGACTGCTATTAGGTATCAGGATGAAATCCTTGGACCCATTGTCAGACCCTATGCTGGGCAAGTAGGTCCTGGGTTCTTCCTGGTGCACGACAATGACCGGCCTAATGTGGCGAAAGTATGCATGCAGTTCCTGGAGGATGGAGGAATTGATACCATTGAATGGCCCCCATACTCGCCTGACCTAAATCCAATAGAGCACCTCTGGGATATCATGTTTCCGTCCATCTGATGATGCCAGGTTGCACCTCAGACTGTCCAGGAGCTCAGTGATGCCCTGGTATAGATCTGGGAGGAAATACCCCAGGACACCATCCATTGTCTCATTAGGAACATGTCCCGACGTTGTCAGGCATCCATACAAGCACATGGGGACCATACAAACTACTGAGTACCATTGTGAGTTGCTGCAATGAAATTTCAGCAAAATGGACTAGCCTGCTGCACTATATGTATAGCAATTTTTTTTCATTTGTAATTGTTCATTTAGATTTAGGATATGTCCCTATTATTGTCATATCATAAAATTGTTATTGTTTAACTACTTCAGTACTGGGCACTTTCACCCCCTTCCTGCCCAGGCCAATTTTCAGCTTTCAGTTGAATGACAATTGTGCGTACATACAACACTGTAACCATATAAAATGTTTGTCATTTTTCTTTAGACAGAGATTTCTTTTGGTGGTATTTAATCAGCACTAGGTGTTTTATTTCTTGCTAAACAAACAGAAAAATTGAACATTTGGCAAAAAAAAACCCGTTTTCTTAGTTTCTGTTTTGCAAATAAGTATTTTATTGTCTTCACTGATGTGTACTAATGAGGCTGCACAGATGGTCACTGATAGGCTGTACTAATGGGCCCTGATGAGGCTGCACTGATGAAGCAGCACTGATGGGCACTGAGGAGGAGGCACTGATGAGCACTGATGGGCACCGATAAGCTGCACTGATGGGCACTGAGGAGGAGGCACTAATGAGGTGGCACTGATGAGCACTGATGAGACTCCACTGCTGAGGCTGCACTGATGAGGCAGCACTGATGGGCACTGGTAAATTGCACTGATGGGTACTGAAGAGGAGGCACTAATGAGGTGGCACTGTTGAGCACTGATAGATGGCACTGATGGGCACTGATAGGCAGCACTGATGGACACTGATAAGCTGCACTGATGGGCACTGATGGGGTTGCACTGATGATCACAGCCCTGATTGAAAGTGTAAACAAACTTCTGACAGCCTTGCGTGTGAGGAAAAGACTGCTGAAAACTGGCAGGTCTGTTTACATGTGATCAGCTGTGATTGGACACAACTGATCACATGGTAAAGGGCTGCTGTGATTGGCCCTTTACCGCGATCTGTGATCAGCTGTGTCCAAGGGACACAGCGGTCACTGAGCGTGCCCAATAAAAGGTAAGAACTGATCAAAACAACAAACTCTTCTGCAAGACAGAATCTGCATATGCTGAACAGACAAGATCACTAAATATTTTTCAGCTTACTTTTTGGTCAGTTGGTACTCTACAAAATGTTCTGGGAGGATGTCTAAAGATACCCTCCCAGAACAAGACAGCAGCGCTGTAGCTGTCTTTCAGCTATAAGGCAGTATTGAGGTGGTTAATCAATTTTCAAAAATGATTTTATCCCTTTAAAAGTAAAATAATGAGTAGAAATAGCAGTAATAAATAGAAAATCACATAATAACATCATAAACTATACATGAAGCTTGCTGGATGGATGCACATGTATTTCATTGCAGTACCCCCACATATAATTTGTTATCTCCATGGGTTAGATTTGGTTTCGTATATGGAGTAAAGCCATACAGGCAAGTATAGTTACTCTCCATGAAAAAAAATATTGCATTTTGCTGCATGGATCAGCATGTTTTTTTTTCAAATACTTTCAAATTGATGAATTAATGTAATTAATGTAGCACAAACTAATTAAGTAACATGCTGCTTAAAATTCAGTCACCAGAATGCCAAAAAACTTTTTAAGATTGCATTTGCATAAAGTTTACTTTTGTAGTCATTATATTGACAAGGATAATTGATGCCTTATGTATAATGAATGTGTGCATATTTTTAATTAAGGCCAAGGCTGAAAAATACATTTTGATAAATATTTGTATTTTTGTTAGGTAAGACATATTGGGGTTGATTTACTAAAACTGGTTCACTCAAAATCTGGTGCAGCTGTGTATGGTATCCAATCAGCTTCTAAATTAAGTTTGTTCAATCAAGCTTTGACAATAAAACATGGAAGCTGATTGGTTTCTATGGAGAGCTGCACCAGATTATGCACTGCGTATGAGTATTTTATATTTTCAGCCAGCAGGCAAGCTCTCAACTCTTTTTTTCATGTGTCTTCCTGATTCTCCTCACCAAAGTCTTTAAAAAACCAAATGTTTACAAATCTCAAAAGCTCAAGCTGAAATTGACACACAAGTAAATAAAGTCAGTGCATGGATCCCTCACTTCTCTGTCTAAAATTTCAGTCTGAGTAATTGTTTCTGAAAGAAAATTTTTGTTCTGTACTCTTTCTTTAGCTCACCAATAATGTTCTGAGAATCCTTTGTCATGCATTACATGTTTTTTTTTTTTCTAAAATAAACAAGATATAATTATACATCAGGTAAACAACATCAAATCAAAACTAATACAAACATAAAAGCAAAAATGACCCAGTCTGTTATACAACTTTGATTCCCTTTAACATAAAAAGTAAGAACTGTTAAATCCTTCTGCAAGGATGCTAAACCATCAAGATTACTAAATATTTGTCAGCATACTTTTGGCTCTGTTTGTATTCTACAAAAGTTTGCGTTCTGTTTTTTATTTTCAATACATCAGCACTTGTGCAGAAGGAATGCAAAATCCTGAGTTGTTTTTGGTTTGGGTTTTGGGAGGTTAAAGGAGTTCTAAGTTTTTATCAGAAGGCAAAGAGATAAATGCTAGTCTTTTTCTTTCATTTTAAATTACACAGGAAATGCCCTAGGCTGATAGAAGTGTCAATGGAAGATTTGTATTGTGTGCCAGGAAAGATAATTATGATCTTTAAAGATAAAACACTAAAGGACATTTGTATAGGAGTGCTAAAAATCTCCATTCATGAGAAACAAATGATTTTGTAGGCACAGATCATACATCTTGCACACGCATGCACACAATCTTACATTCATACACCGAAGTATTTAAATATTTTTCTATTTTTTTCTTTAGCAATTGCTACCCTAGAAATGATAATGATGGCAAATGGCGTTGGTTATGTAGCACTATTTTCTTTCAAAAGAAGTCGAAAAAAATATCAATTGTGTCCATAGTATAATTATAAAATATTACTGTCCTATATTTTTCTGCAATGAAAAAAGAGAAAAAAAAATCATGAAAGTGTCCATTTTCTAAAATCAGATACAGTATAAATATGAAAAAAGAACAAATTTTGTCATGTATTCAGCTACTCTACTAATCTATTAAAATGAATTGCCAGTATAGTTTTCTTTGTTCATATTTTTATTTTGCTACTTTAACTAATTTTAATGCATTTCCCTAAAATTTAAACTGTTAGTGAGTATAAACAACTAAGTACAATTAAATATGTGAACCCGTGTGTATTCTAGTAGTGCGTAATAGAAGTTAATCAATTTGACATTAAAGCAAAGGTTCAGCTTTCTCTGACTTACAGTTCATTAAATTAATTGAGTGGTAAACTAGCACAGTTGACATGGTAGTATTACAGTTCTAGCTGAGGCTGCTTTTTCCTGACATTTGTTTGTGGAACAGATTTTAAATCAAGACAATTTCCCTGCCTCTATCCATAGCAATATTAAAAAAATGTGTTATTTTTTCTATCATAAATTAATGTAAAATATAAATGTTTTAATTTACTTTTATTATAGGCTTGCTTGAGCAAGTACTGTTGGATATTTGTGTTACATAGGTAAACTACAGTTAGAATGACTTTAAGTTAGTAAAAAAGTACTGTGCTAAAAAATTTTTTAGACTTGTCAGAAAACACATTTATTATTCTATCCAATGTGCTGTAATTATTGATTATCACAGTGCATTCATAGGGCAAATAAGTTATGCACTGGATGGGCCTAACACATATATATGCATATTCTTACTTTGTAGTAACTGAAGCTGTCAAATACTTCACTAGTTTCAACTTCTGTGTATCTTTGGTTTCATATACCTGTTTTGTCCCAATTATATTTTTTAAAATGCTGGGCACCTAAAATTATAATCTAAGTTATTGTTGAGTCCAACAAACTTTAATCTGGCACTTGCCTGGTAATATCGTAAGATCAAGAAAAATGATTACTTTTGATTGCTATGTATTTAAAATGTTAATTTTACTCTGATAAAATATTTTTTTCAGTTGCACAATGGGTTCTTGTTTTTTACATGGACCCTGAAACAGTCTAATGCTGCTATACTAATTAAAGTTCAAATTACTCACTTGGTTTTAAATTCATCGACCATCCTCTGGGCATCTTTGTACTCCCTCTCGAGTTTGGACCGATCAGAAGCCAGTTCACGAATTCTCTGCCGATTTAGCTCAATTTGTTCTGCAAAAGCTTCTTCCAGGCCAGAAATCTCATCCATTCTTTGGAATGTCTCCAACTGCTTTCTAAAGATTGCATTTCTTTGTTCCAGAACCCTAGCTCGATTTATATAATTGGCAAACCTTTCATTGAGTTCCTGCAAGTTTTCCAGGCCTTTTGCCTGAGACAAACCAAGGTTGCTAATGTCTACAAGACTTTGCTCATCAAAACCATCAGACCTCTCATATTTCTCTTTGCGTACTTCTCGTAAGTAGCTTGTCTTGTACATATTGCTATTGCTTCTCTAAGGGACCTTCCTCTCCCCAGGTTAAACTAGTCTGAACAAATTTCTAAGAGGCAAAGAATGAGAACTGTTCTGTCCTCTCTCTCCTGTGCACAGAATGTCATCTGCAATAACCAAATGAAATTTCATTCAAAGCAATAGGCCACAAGGGTACTGTTCTCTTGCATTCTAGTATTTGTCAGCGTTTATTTTGTTCCAGGGAAAGCATTGTTTCTTTTTTTTACAGCATAGAGAGGCTTAGGTTAACAACTAAACACATCTAACAAAGCAATTGCATTTTGTAAATAGATGATTCAATTTAAACAATTACCCAAAGCATTTGCAATCATTTACAGTAATTGGTTTGGCCCCGCGGTGCGTTTACATTTGAAATGTATCATGAACGCATTTGTCAAAAATATTTTAAACTGGCTGTATGTATGCATTGTTTGCAACATGATAAATTTAGAGCCTGTTGTTTGGTGACTTTGAGTCTATCAAAAGAAAATTCATGATGCAATTGTCAGTTTCTAAGATAAAAAACTGATACTGATACTGATTTTGCAAGTGCAGTTGCGCTTATTTTCCCTAGAGCTTAGTGAATGTGGTGATGCTCTGTTGATTTCCATGCATGTTATTAGGTATTGGGAAATTTGCCACATTCACAAAGCTCTTGGAAAAATGTGTACAGCTGCACTTGCAAAGTGCACACCTTTTTAACTTATATATATGGTCTTCAGAAAGCAGAAACTTTCTGAAGACCATATATATATTACTGCTTTCCACACGGTCACTGTAAATAAACAGCCGGGTGGGGCAAGCACCAATCTGGGAGGATGTGTCCACACATCCTCCCACTCTTGGGGCTTGTGTGCAGCCATGGGGCTATCCAGTGGCATGATCCTGTGATGACTATGTCCCTCAGACCCAGCATATCACAGATCAGGAGATTCACTCTCTGACTGGCCCTCCTGTTCATGTGATGGCTGTGTCCAATTACAGCCATCACAGAATGTAAACAGAAACATGTATCTCTCTATCAGCTTTCCTTCTCTTCACACACAGAACATATGTGAGGAGAGGGAGAGCCAATCTGTGCAGTCTGTTAGGGATCTGTGTGTACCTGCTGATTTCACTGCACAGATCCCACACAATGCAGCCATCTGTCACCAGTGCACCAAGCACCAACTGTGTCCAAGTGCTCGTCAACATCTGTACCAGTGTCCTATCAACATCTGTCACAGTGTAGCTGTATACAAAAACATCTGTCACTGTGCCCCATCAACATCTGTCACAGTATACCAGTGCACATCAACATCTACAATAGCGTCCCTTTGTACAATTTCTGCAATAGTATTTAACTGCAACATCAACATCTGTCAGTGTCTCATTGCAACATTAACATCTGCTGGTGTCGCTAGTGGACTGTCAACATCTATCGGTGTCCCTAGTGGACCTTCAACATCTGCCAGTGTCCCAGTGGGCCATCAACATCTGTTGGTGCTCCATTGGACATCAACATCTGTCAGTGTCCCAGTGCAGAACATATGCAATAATGCCCCAGTGGACATCAACATCTGTCCCAATGCCCCAGTGCGGAACATCTGCAGTAGTGTCTCGGTGCTCTTTGGATGGTGGGCTTCTCTATGTGGCTTCTTACTAGGTGAAGCAGAATGTATTTTGGGGTGAGTGTCTTAGTATGTCCATGCTGTGTATTAGAAATATCTTATAAATTGACAACTTTGTGTAAAACAGATGTTTTTTAATTTTCTTTCTTGCCTCAAAGAAAACACATTGGGGCGTTTCTCTCCGCAGCCACTGTCACATTTTAAAAACAGCACAGTAGCGCAAGGCTCCACCCCCACAGCCTTGTCATTTATTCACAGAGATCTGTAAATTACAAGTCTTGTGTGCCACCGTGGAAGATGACTTGTAGTTCATTGACACTTCCAGCAGTTGAGTAACGGTCTGCCCGTACAGGAAGTATGGGCAGAAAACTGTCAGGAGTGTCTGCAGGAGCCTGACATTGCACCAGCGATCCGCTGATCGCAGATGCAATGCAATGCTTTTACCTGCTGAATCATGTGCATTTATTATTTTTTTTACTAAAGATGAACTTAGCCTTTAATGTTGGCCAAGCGATTGCACGTTCCCCAGGACATTGCAGTTAGCCTACCTACTCTTAAAACTTTTAAACCAATGTTTGATATAACTGCTGTCAAATCCTGCACTGGATTGCTGTCAGGTTGCCTCTCCAACAACCTGGAGCTTAAATATTTGCCAGATTTTTGGCTGCTTTGGCCAGCCATTATCCAGTTTTGTCCCTCCCTGTTAGTTCCTAGTCCTGAGCCCACCTTGTTTACAGTCCTGCCCAGCTTTAACCTCTACATGGTCTATACAGTATGGTTTGTCCTTCACTCATTTCTGCTCAGTTCTTAGCTTTATTACCTTGTTCTGTTTATGAATGCAGGTCATTTTATACCATGTCCTTTGTTTGTTGTGTTCATATGCCTACTATTATTTGCTGCATGAATTCATATCACACTCATTCGTGCTCCTCAGGGTCCTGATTAACAATTACAACGGCAATGAAATCTGAGGTATGAAGGGAAGAGAAAGATTTCTTATACCATTTTTGTTATTAACCGCTTTTTCAGGGGTGTGCATAATCACGTACATATACGTGATTTTGCATTTCCGGGTAGGGGGCATGCGTGAGCCACACGCCTGCCCTACCCGCACTGATATTCACAGCCTCGGCTGTCAATCACTGGGTCCCGGCCGGTGATTACTCGCTGACACCCATTGATTGAGGAGCATTACCAATGGAGGGAGAGAACTGTAAGTAAACAATACCGTTCTCTCCCCTGTCAGCTCCTGCACACTGCTATGCATGGCTTTGCATGCATGGAATCACTATAACTTTCACGTAAAGCAATTCATTTACACGTATTGGAATTTTTTTTTAGCAAAGACATGTAGCAGAATACATTTTGGCCTAAAGTTATAATGAAATTTGATTTTTTTCGATTTTTTTACTGGACATGTTTAACCTCCCTGGCGGTATGATTATTTCAGATTTTTGGTGCTGAAAGCGGTACCATTTTTTTGCATGGAAATATGTATTTTTTTTATTGTAGGCTGTAATTTTTAGGAAAAACTCACTGAAATCTGTCCGAACAAGAGTCTAGTAAGCATCCCGGGTATGATAAAATTTGAAACACAAAATCATAAATTATAATTTAATAAATAATCATAAAAATAATATAAAAATAATAAAAAATTTAATTCAATAATATAATCAAACCAAAAACACTGAAATGTGAAATAGAGCGCCAAGTTCGCACATTGCTGAGCTCAGTCGCAAAATCGTTTTCAGTGTCTGATGACAAATTTCCCCCACGAATCATTATCACTCAATTCTGCAAGTGGTTCTGATTTACTATCGCTGTTCTCTAGCTGATCTAAACCGCTTTTGACCTAAAGGGACACTTTTTGGACGCCGTGGACATTTCTCAGTTTCCAGGCAGAAAGAACAGACAAAATGCAGGCAGGGCGCAGGACAAAGCACTAGGGACAATATGTATGTGAAATTGGTTGAGACAGCAATGTTTTACTATGTAAAATGTAAAAAAAAAAAAATGACATTTTTTAAAATTTTTAAATTTCCCGCCGCCGGCGGCGCCCGTACGTCCCGACGTCACAGGGACAGGACACAGAAGCCGGATGCCGGCATCGGCCGAAGGAGATGGCCGGGGACGCTGCAGGGGACACATCGTGGGAGCGCGGGGTAAGGTAAGTGAAGAACACTTGCCGGAGCAGTGCCGCAGGGTAAGCCCGAGTGTAGCTCGGGGTTACCGCTTTTGGTACTGAAATGTTACCCCGAGCTACACTCGGAATACCGCCAAGGAGGTTAATAGCAAAAAGTGAAAAATATTGTTTTTTTTTCTTAAAATTGTCACTCTTTTTTTTTTATTGCACAGAAAATAAAAAACACACAGGCAATCAAATACCACCAAAATAAAGCTCTATTCGTGGGAAAAAAAGGACTTAAATTTAATTTGGGTGCAGCATTTAATGACCGCGCAATTGTCAGTTAAAATAATGCAGCACCGTAACATAAAAAATGGTCTGGTCAGGAAGGGTGGTAAATCCTCTGGAGGGCAAGTGGCTAAATAATTCTTAAAAAACTAGAAAACTATAGGGATACCATTTTTTTTACCATTTTAACATGTTCTACAATAGCACTGGTTATCAGTAGCAATGTTCCCATGTCCATGATCAGGGGTGCTCCTCTACCGGGTCTAGTCTCCATCAGTTCAAAAGGGGGGCCTATGCACCTGCTAAGCAGGAGGGCCTGCTGTACTGCGTTATTGTTGACACTGTCACTCTTGTGGATCCTCCATCAGCTTCTGGTCCTATTTCTTCTACCAGCTGTGATGCAGGGGGATCGGTTCTAGTATTAGTATTAGCTCCCCCACAGCTCTGATCACCCTCAGCCCCTACTGTCTGTCCCTTCTGTGTGCCTCCCTCCCCCAGAGTGCTGCCAGTTTCCCTTCCTTGCCCCTTCTTTTTCTGAATGAGCACAGTGAGTGACCGGTACTGATTGCTCCTGTATCCATTCATCACTGAAACATAGTAAACAGTTTTTTACTATGCTTCCATTTGTGAATGTACAGGAAGCCACACAGCACATAGCACTTCCCATTCAATTACTGTCCAGTGCAGCTGAGGCTGCAGAGAAAGGGACTGATGGATCTAAGTCCTCATTCCCTTTCTCTGTCCCATAAGCAAGACATCGGGGGTCTGTTTAGAACCCTGATATTTCACCAAAGCTCCCCCCAACAGGGCAGTTAAAAATGTAAAAAAAATTTTACATTCTAAAAAATTATTTTTAAAAAATTAAGGACTCGTTCAAATATGCTTTTCTCACTAAAGAGCAGTCAGCAGTTGGATCGTTCTTCAGAAAGCATTTAACAGGCAGTGAGGAGGCATATTGGCTCCTC